ATACACTTATAAGACAAAATGGACTATGCTGAAATCCATATACATCATGCTTCAGATATCAGCCTTTGGATGTTCTGTGTCCTATGGTATTCCATTCACGGCCTGCTGCCGGGGAACAAATAGCCTTTACTCAAATGGTTAGCTTTGAGGTTTTTAATGCATTTTGGCTCATAATATTTCTTCTTCCTGTGCCCATTTATAATGAAAACAAATGTTAGTTACTATTGTGCATTAAGTCACTTATTCATATTTCGTGTTACTAGAGTTGGAGGGGGACTTTTGAGAGAAAAAGAACATTTTCAAATAAAAAAAGCGTGAAAAGAATTTTAAGTAATAAAACAGCTCAAGACATAACCATGAAAATCTGGATCCAGAACTACGTCATATGTGTTTATATATATTTCTATTCTCGTCTTTAAAATTGTCCTAAGTAGTAAGAGTTCTTTCGAGGGCAAATTTTATCATAGAGAAATAGAGTAATTATTGAATTAAACAGCCTATATTTTGAATCTTATATTGAATAGCTTTTGTACTTTTTATGAGCAGCACCCCATGGGTGATAGCAACATATAATTTTCATCCTTCCTCAGATGATGATGGGCAGAACCTCTCTCCCTCTGCTGGGAGACTGTGTATACCACTTGCTGTAATTTCCTATTGTCTTTTCAAGACAGTGACATGAGGAAGAGGGATAAATGTCAGCATTTTTCTTTCACTGAAGTATTTCCAGGTGAATAACCCCTACATTTTCCATAGCAAATAGGTCTGGATTCATCTTTTGGTGAAATTGACCTTATTCTAATTTGTGCATTAAAGTGAAATATGTTAGTACTGTATTCTTAAGTCTGGACTTAGTAATTTGTAAGAGACTTTTAGTACATGCTACACTAGTATTTCTCAAAATATAGTCCAGGGGCCATCTGGATTGCAATTACTATTGATATTTTTAAATAGCATGCTAGACCTGTGGACTCAGAATCTTGTAGATCAACATGGAAAGGGAAGGGATCTATAAGTTCCCTATATTATAAAAATTCAAAGTTGGGAGCCACAGTTTTATATCATGACACCTAACAAATGGCATGTATGTCTCCACTTCCTTATTGCACATTCATTGCAGACATTACTGATTGATTGCAGTATTCTTTCCTATAGGGGTAATATAAAGCCACACAATTGTCAACACAGTGCCAAAGCTTGCAAGCTGGTTGGCTTGCAAGACAGAATAGCTTCTCCTGGAGCTTTTCTAAACAGACTGGTCTCTTGGGCAAAATTATCTTTAAAAATACAGTTACGAATTTGGAGACAAACACTAATATCCTTCAAATTTCAAAGAGATGTTAGAAATTTTTTTTTTCCACAAAATATTGACTATGAGGCAGAATAGACAGCAAGTCTAAATTCATGGAGGCGTCAACTCCGGAAACCATATTCATAATACCAGAAGGTAACCAAAGATGGGAAAAAACATAAAAAGAAGATACAGCTGTTTAAAAGGCATAGTAGAAATGAGGTCATTAAACAACTCTTTATGATTCCACTTAGTAGCTTCTGAAAGCTAAAATGTGCATAGAATAAATTATGTTCACAATTATGATCCAAAATACCCAGAGAAGGATAAGGCATTTTTTTGTACATTACGTTCAAGGCAGTTTGTGATAATGTTTTAGAAGCTTCCCAAACCAAGGAAGTTAAAGGAAAAGGAGACCTGAGATGTAAATTCTTAGCTAATTGATAAAATTTACTGGAATAATTTTCAATTTTGGGATTTCAGATACTTATCTTTACAATCCGTACTTACTTTGTTTTATTCATCCCTTATAGTATTATTGTCGAAGGCATTAGTAATAGTCACTATTTGCACATTATCTTGTTATTGTACTCTATAAAATCAAACTTTTGGTAATATGACTATTTTTCATATAGTGAATTTAGAATTAGATAAGGAAATTGTCAAATAGTTCCTCATAGATGACATTTTTTTCATTTGTATTAAATGACTTTGATAATTATGTTAAGCATGATAATTTCTAAAATAGTAGATCAAAAATATAAAATATGTGTATTTATTGCTTTTTTGATAACTGCACAGGCAGGAATCTATAAATATTCAGATCCTAACTCAGTGTAAAAATGATGACTTTTGAGTGTTGTAAAATAAATAAATCCTTTCACAAAAATAATTTTGGCCTTCTTTAAAAAATATTTATGATGTTTTTAACACATAATCATAAAAATCTAGTTACTATTTGATGTACTTTTAGAAATATGATCATTGTGGAAATCTGATAATTTTAAAATTCCTTTAAAATTTGTCACCTTGTTTTCTATTTAAAATATTAATAAAATTAATTATTTTATGTGTGAATATGTTGACCTGATAGACTAGGGATACCTTCTCAGATTTTTTTGAGCCTGTGACAAGCATACTATCAATTTTATGGTGAAATTAAAGCAATTTCTACCACATCAATTCCAAACTTGCTCCTTTTCTTACTTGAATTCTTGGAACAAGTACTGGACTTGGAGCCAGGAGATATGACTTCTAATCTTGGCTTTTATTTAGCTGATTATGATTATAAAGAAAAATCAGGTGGTTAACTCAGAGTAGTTGGACACAGTTGTTCATCTTGTGATCCTGTGAACATAGGGAAAGCAAGAACTTACTACTTAAATATAACTATTAGTGTTTATAAGAAGAACGAACTTGAAATGGAATGGTTAAAATAAAGGCACACACTTTTAAAGATGACTATACCACACATTTGCAGTTAGAATGTTCAACAGCACATTGTCAATAATATTCTTGTTTCCCTTCTTTTTGTAAACCATTACATCTAAGACCATAGCAAGTGTTTCATCTAGAAAGCAATCTAAGGTACGAAGCACACTGAATGCTTCCATAGACTTTAATTATGATTTGTAAAAAGAAATATTTTGACAGTTCTTATTTAATAGCTTCCAGAATATTTGACTATCCTTAACATATATTGTAAAAATACCATGGAATTTTATTGGGAATGCTACTTTACAAGCAATTAATTATTATTTACTCTAGCTAAATGTAACTACAATATAATAATGTGTTGGGAGTATTTTTCCAACTTTGTTAAATGAGTCATTTATGGAAAATCTGACTGCTTCTTTGCCCTTATTTTTATTTCACATCAAGTCTTCAGAATTCTAAGGAGGTGTGACCAATGATTAAATGATGGCTTTGTAGGCCCATGATAACCTAACTGTATTAAAGAGTAGACGTCTTTTAATAACTTACAGTGTAAACGTGGAGATTTATTTAATTTTAATTATTGGCGTTTTCTATTTAAATATGTCTAAGTAGTTATAGCTTACCGATGTCCATAGTACTAACATAAGTTTTTGTCTAAGAGTAACTTTTTACTCTAACCTTTTGTAATCTTTTAGTTCCTTTATTTCTAATGTGTCTGACTTACTACTATATTCTCATGCACATAGTAATTGAGATGAACTTTTATTGAAACATGTTCTTATTTAATTGCTCCTACTGTTTTATAAAGGAATATTCTTCGGTTTTTCCCAACCACATTTCATTTTTTTAATACTACGTAATCATTTATTTTATTTCAGTAATTGAGAGGATATGTAATAATTTAAATTTTATTCCTTAAGATTATATGAGAGATAGAAGGGGATTAGCAAATTAGCTTGTTATTATCTTTGTTTAATCTTTTATCTATTTTGCATTATGTATTTATTTTTGTTTAATGTAGTTAATTTTGTCTTTTGTTAGGAGTGCTGATCTTTTTCAGTCTAACTCTCCTGAAGAGTGAGGGGCAAAGTTTTTACAAATCTCAACAGAGTAATACTATAGTTAGATCCCTGACTTGTCACAAATTACATTTGCAGAAAATAATTAATTAACACTAAAGGACAGAGTTGTAGAAAAATAAACAATGTAAGAGAGAGCACTTCCTGTGTTATTGTATTTAAGAATAATTTCTAAGGCTTCTATCATTGATTGACACATGGCAAGGACATTTGTTTGAAATCAACTTCTTCCAGTTGGTTCTTCAGAGTTTTCATGGGTGGTTAAGGCTCTGACATATCAAAGCTCTGACATGTCTTAAGGCTCTGATATATCAAATATTAATGACAGATGAAAAAGAAAATCTCAGTCAGTGAGTGTGTCTGTCAAAGATCCTTAATTTGGGGAATATTAGTTTTCATAGAGGGAAAATATTTTCCTGTAAAATTCCCCATGCTTAATGTACTTTTGAAACACTTATACTTGGATGGAAATCTGTTAAGTTGAACATCCTATATTTATGCTCATATCTCACTGAAAGCAATATTCAGGAATGCAGGGCACTACTATCAGAAGTAACAAAAATAGGTATGAAACTGCAACTACTTTGATAAGTAGAATTTTTTTAACTCTTTGTTGAAGAATAATGAGTTCTTTTATGATAAAAAATTATACTGATCCCATATTTAATGCATTAGTAACATTAACAGATGATGAAATTTCCTCTTTTCTAGAGAAAAGAGGAAAAAAGTCTTAAAAGGATTTTAAAACAATGTAAATGCATCTTATAAAGTATTTATGTATTTCTCATTTTTAGGAAATAAGTTATTGAGGTATTTTCACGCCAAAAATATTTTTGTTGCGTTTTTCTCATTTAAATCACGTGGTTATATAGAAGTTTATCTCAATATAAGAAATTCTTCTGTTTTTTAAATACCTTTTAATCTTTACAACTCAAAGACTGTTTCATGATATCCTATTTTGTTAAGTAGTGCTAATTCCCCAAAAGTGTATATATGCCACAAGTGAATTTAAAATTCCAAGAGGGTTCATTGTCTGACAATTCTGGTTTGAGATTTTTGTCCTTTTTTGCTTATTAAAACTCCAGTTATGTTGATGATTACTCAGGAGTTTGAGAAGCAGTTAGTCTCCCAACTAGTGAAAGGCAAGACCTAGTAGGTCTGCTTCTTTTTGCCCTTAACTGTTCAATTCTCAGATATTGACCAGTGGAACAAGGTGATTGAGCAACTAGGAACGCCATGCCCAGAATTCATGAAGAAATTGCAACCCACAGTAAGAAACTATGTGGAGAATCGGCCCAAGTATGCAGGACTCACCTTCCCCAAGCTCTTTCCAGATTCCCTCTTCCCAGCGGACTCCGAGCACAATAAACTCAAAGGTATGCCCACCAGGGACAATTTCAGAACCACCGTGTGGGTGATGGTCTAAAGAAGCAAATGATACACCTCTCTTTAACTACCTCAATTTAAGGAATATTTATTTAAGCTTGTTTATTTTGAGAGAGTGCGTGCCTGCGCGTGAGAGAAAACAAGTGGGGGAGGGGCAGAGAGAGAGAGAGAGAGAGAGAGAGAGAGACAGAGTCTCAAGCAGGCTCTGTGTGGTCAGCATGGAGACTGACATAGGGCTGGTACTCATGAATGGTGAGATCATGACCTAAGCAGAAATGAAGAGTCTGTTGCTTAACCAACTGAGCCAGGTGCCCCATAAATTTAAAGAGTATTTTTAAAAGATCTTTTTAAAAAAAAAATTAAAAGAAAAAAAAATATTACTAAGGGCATGTGGCCAAGGATTTTAGAATTGTGTAGATATTCAGAGGGAAAGATAGTTATAAAGGATGTGACAGTGGTATGGGTTAATTATGTCATGAGGCTTATTTAAAATCTTAAAATTCTTTTGCAGTGTAACTCTAAAAGACCAAAGTGATATACAGTGAAATCATTGTTCTAATTCTTTTTATTACCTGGAGAACACTTTCAACACAAGTTTTTAGTTATAAAATCTTGGAGATGCAGGTGTTTGCATTCTTTTATTTATATTTTATGGAATATTTAACCACCATTTTTTCCATTTTAGAGTGACAAATGAGATTTTACCTATTCATTTTATATTCAATATAAATGCTTTCATTAATAAGTAATTCTTTCTACTACAATGTCTACAGTTATGAACTTCAATAGCAAATCTTAGTTTCTTCACCCACAAAACTTGAATAATGATGCCTTAGTCATAGGGTTAGAGATAAGGGATAAATTTGCCAATGTGTAAAATAGATTATAAATAATATTCTACTTCTTGTTTTAATTTAGAACGTTTTAGAGAACCTCAATTTTGAAACAAATTTTGTTTTTCCTGTCTGAGCTCAAATGCTGCCCCTGAATATCTGTGTGAACCTGGACAAGTTATCTAATCTATCTATACCTCCTTTAACAAATGAAGGTATCTACCTTAGGATCATTGGGAGGATTAACTGACTAAATATTTTGTCAAGCATTTAGCACAATGCCTGGCTCACAGTAAATATTCAATTGTCAGACATAAAAAAAATGTAATAATTATTTTTTAAAATGTAACTGTATTTATCAAAAAACAAAAAGAATGCCTGCTTTTGAAATTTTAACCCCAAATGTTGGGTGGGTAATTAATTAACTACAGACTTAACTTACAGACATAGTTTATAGCTAATACAGACTTGAATGAGACAGAGAAACTAAAATGTGATGCTACTATTTTCCAGAATCTTATCATCCCCAGACTTTCATCTCCTGGGTTTTAAGTGTGCAGCATTGCTCCTGTGCTTGTGACAGTCTTATTGCACAGTTGGGTTTCTTCCTTTAGTTGACTCTACAGTCTCTGAATGACAACAGACTAAATTCTTGCTAAATATGCTGCTTTTAAGATCAGCACCTGCCTATACACAGAATGAAGAAGAGCTAATACTCCAAATAGAGATTTGAAGAATTTATGTGTTTATGATGCTAATTGACCTGTCAGGCAAAAGTAATCCCTTTATATGAAGACATTTGTGTGTAAAAATGTGGAGATGATAAAAACCCTGATGAAATTATTTGAGATAATGACAGCACTTGTAGGAAAACAATTAAATAAAATGTTATGCTTCATAATATAATTCCAACTTTCTAGAGTTTATGTTTTGCCTTTTTTTTTTTTTTAATGTTTATGTATTCTTAACAGAGAGAAAGACAGAGCATGAACAGGGGAGGGGCAGAGAGAGAGAGAGAGGGAGCCACAGAATTTGAAGCAGGCTCCAGGCTCCGAGCTGTCAGCACAGAGCCCAACGCAGGGCTCTAACCCCCAAGCTGTGAGATCATGACCTGAGACAAAGTCGGACGCTCAACCAACTGGGCCACCCAGGCACCCCTATGTTTTGGCTTTTTAATTCAATCTCTATGATTATATTATTTTTTCTGAAGATACACTAGTTTATATATTTATAATTATTTAATGATAATTTTCATATAAAATTAATAAATTATAAAGAATTGTAAAAATAATCAGAAGGAAGAATTTACTATTGCTAAAAAAGAACATGAGATGTTTACTTGCAAATAAAAGAGTGAAAAATGAGGAATTGAAGCCTCTTCCTCCTCATTTTGTTCCCTACAAATAGTATTGATCATTGTTTCTTAGTGAGATGCTTTGGTATTCCTGTAGTTCATGCCCCTATTGATGAGGAGTCCATTCCCCCTTTCTAAAAGCAGAAACATGGATGGGTTTGATGGGAGAATCTGTAGGAGGTGGATGTGTGCGTCTCAATACAAAATCAGTTACAAATCAAAGGGATCTTTGAATCAATAAAATAAATAAATATAGCCCTGTTGGGCCATTGGGGGTCCATAGAACAAAAAGAATATTTTCATCATAAAATTTTCAAATCAGCTTGGAACTGTATTTTCTGTAAAATTTTATATGTTTTTAGAGATTGAAAACTGTCTTTTTACCATTGGTTGGTATTAAATAAATAACTTACTGATTATCACTTTATTTATCTATCTATCTATCTATTTATTTATGCATCTCTGGCACCTCCCACTGTACCTACAATAGAATAGATATTTAGTTTTTTTTTTTAAAGAATGTTTATTTATTTATTTATTTTGAGATAGAGAGCACACACGAGTGAGAGACCTCTGTACATGTGAGCAGGCAAGGGGCAGAGAGACAGGGAGAAAGAAAGAAAATCCTAAGCAGGCTCTATTTTGTTGGAGCAGAGCCCAATGTGTGGCTTGATCTCATGAATGGTGAAATCATGACCTGAGCCAAAATCAAGAGTCGATGCTTAACTGACTGAACCACCCAGGAGTCCCAACATTTAGTATTTTATAAACTAAACTGTATCATCTACATCAATTTGGTTACAGAGCCTACCCGATTCTTTCTTTCAAATCTGTCCCTTCCTTGGGGTGCGTGGTTGGCTCAGTCGATTAAGCAGTCGACTTCGGTTCATGTCATGATCTCACAGTTCTTGAGTTTGAGCCCCATAATCAATTCTGTGCTGACAGCTCAGGGCCTGGAGCCTGCTTCAGATTCTATGTTTCTCTCTCTGCCTCTCCCCCACTCACACTGTCTCTCTTTCACAACAATAAATAAACATTAAAAATAATTTTTTTAATTAAAAAAAAAATCTGTCCTCTCCTCTATTCTTGGAGCTTCTGTTCCTGTTAGAGCCCTCATCACCTCTCCCATCCTCAAAAAAGCCACCCCTGACCTTCTTGCCCCCACCAGAACTGCTTTATGCTGTTTTCCATCTCAGAAAAACTTTTAAAATGAGCACCTACATCCACTTTATCTGCTTCTTTTTTTAAAAACTTCCTTCTTTTGCATTTGTTTTTAATTATGTGAGCAATATATGTATATATTCTTCCCTCCTCAGAGGTAACTACTATTTTCAGTTTGTGATTATTTTTGCAGACATTTTCTACGCATTTATATGTATTAATAGGGAGAGAGGGAAATATTTGTTGTTTTATTGTGAAGGGGCAGATTTGCGGAAATGGCATCATGATTTATGGATCATTCTGCAACTTCATTTTGTTACTTAGCACGTCCACGTGGGTACATTCTCTTAAACTGCCTCATTCTCTTAAACTGCCAGCTACAATTCCATGGTACCTTTGTACCGTAGCTCAGTTTTTTATTCTATAGATGGAAATTTAGACTGTTTAAAAAAATTTTTCTTTCATAACCAGTGCTGCAGTGAACATCCTTTCTGTAGCTTTTTAAGGAACTTGTACAATTGTTTCCCTAGGCTGTAATACTCTGGTTTCTCTTCAGATCAAATAAATCTTTCACCTTTTTTCTTTTTCTTTTTTAATGAACATGTACAATTGTTTCTCTAGGCTGTATACCTAAAAGTGGAACTGCTAGATCATAAGGTATTCACATTTAAAATTTTAATGGATGGTCCAAATTTGCACTAAAAATATGTATCAATTTACATTCCCACCAACATGAACCAAATTACCTGGTGTTAGTAGGTACAATGCCATCTTTAATTTTTTCAAATCTGATGCATAAAAAATATTTCATTGTGTCATTTTGCATTTCCCTAATCACTTGGTGAATTTGCCTGGTGTTTGGAAAGGAGGTGCTAGTTTATTTTCTTCATTTCCTCTCCCTCCCATAAATTTTCCTGCCAAAATCGAAATGTTACTAATTGTTTCTCTCACTCATCGTTTCAGCCAGCCAAGCCAGGGACTTATTGTCAAAGATGCTAGTGATTGATCCAGCAAAAAGGATATCCGTGGATGACGCCTTACAACACCCTTACATCAATGTCTGGTACGACCCTGCCGAAGTGGAGGCGGTAAGGCATAGACTGACTTACTTTCCTTCCATAAACACACCAGAGAAACTGGGTGTTCAGTGGTGAAAATGGAAAGAATTAGAACCCAAGAGTGCACACAAAGCACCTTCATAAAATTCCTGTCACAAAGTTATTACCTTCCCCTCTAGAAGTTCTCTTCTACCTATATTTTATATGCTTTTCTTTTTCCAGGATTTTCTGTGAGAGATAATGACTTAGTCCAAAAAGCCCCAGCTGTCCATGAAACGCATCCATTTGTTTTTGTTACATTGTTAACACCTCCAGGGCCCCCTTTTTAATGTTGAATTATCAGCCTGTCCTGATACAAACTAAGTAGCAGAAATCATTACAGAGAGTATGTGGCGTTGCCTCTCTTTCCTTGATAAGATGCCTGCCATTAGTCAAGAGTGGCACTACAAACATTTCACAGGTAGAGCTTTTCCCGGGCCATTGGTGACTTAGTGAAACCTTACATGGATTAGATAAGAAAAATTAGGTAGTCCAATGCAGAATATTTCAGGTTGACTCTAAATCGACCACCAGAGTAAGTTATACATATGTGTTATAAATCTGGACATAGTTTAAGAATCTTCTCAGAAGCATAACTTTTTTTTTTTTTTTTTTTTTTTTTTTTTTTTTTTTTTTTTTTTTTTTCCTATTTTCAACTATTTTCAGTATCTTCTCTTCTCTCCAAATTGTTTCTTATGTCTTAGCCTTTCTCCTTTTCTGTATGGAGCCAAGGCAAAGGGTTATTGTTGTTGCCCATGTGTGTTGTATAGGCTTCTTGATGGGAATGTCCTTTTGTCCCTCTTTTAAGTGTTACTGTCAGCAATGTTATCTTCTCCCAAAAGCATCAAACTCTCCTCAAATTCTTAGAATACCCCTGCTAAATGTTAACCTCATTTTACATAATGACTTCAAATTACTTTGTTTGAATTGGTTTTTAATATTCTTTGAAATACTCTTTTTGTTTCTTTTCTCGTGTCTTTCTCTCTCAGTCTTCTTGCTTAAGGATAGTTTTGCTTTGTTTAAGCTTCCTTTTGTTTCATTGTGCGCCTGCCCATGTCGAGATGCTAGATTCAAACTGACATAATTCTTATCCCTTCATCCTTCACTGGAGAAGTGAGGTCCAACAGATGGGAGTGAGGATTAGGTAGAATTAAATATTACAGACATACTATTAAAAAAAAAACTACTTTTCATAGTAACCCAATCCTTAAGCATTCAAAAATTTTGGAGAAAACACTTCAGTGGTAAATTAGTCTCTCAAGTGTGGAAATGGTGTTAACAATCCTTGATGACATTTTCTTAAGATCTGCTCTCTTTAAGCAGTTTTACAATGATGTTGAAATTTCAATTTGCTTAGAATTAATTTTTAGTCACTTGATTTGATTCTTGCAAAATAAAATAATCATATTTTTATAGGTAAAAAATGGAATCACTTTTAGTCTCTCACTTTCGGGAAATACTTTCAAAGAAGTTCTTGGGGGTAGAATGAGGCCATGAAATAAGACAAAGTACGATTTATAGGTATGTGAAAAGTAAGCATAGAATTTTTCTTTGATGATTTACAAAAAAATACTCTAGGTTATGTTGATAAAAATTTTAGACAAACATAAATTATTTGAAATAATAAATAAATAAATAAATAAATTCCTCATTTATTTTGATCATTCAAATCAGGTGCCATATTTATTTTTCTCTCCATCTAATATAATGTGTGTAATCTGTTTTTAATGAATTGTGGCCCAGAGTTTAATTGGAGTCATAAAGTCTGCATTTGTAATTCACTTGTAATTATGTTGCCTATAAAAGGGACAGTTGTTTAGAGTCTATAACAACATATTAATTAATAGCATCAGTGAGTTTTTAAATGTATTTTAACTTTTAATGAAGAATTTCTTTGACGGATAAAAAGATAAAACTTAGGACACTAAAATGGCTAGAACATTTTTCTCACTCATTTCAATATTGTCATCCTGGGTAATGGATAGTAACAACACAAGACATGAATTTTAGGGGAAGGATTTGATAGAGCCTGAAGGTTTAGGAAAAAGGATCAGTTAATGCACAGAAGAACAAGCAAATATTTAACATCTAGATTGGGATCATTGGTTATAGAGGGTAAATATGTTTTATATCTAGACATGTTGCAGTGAATAGGTTAGAATCCTGACCATAGGGCAAGGATAATTATTACTCTATTGGGGCACCTGGGTGGCTCAGTAGGTTGAGTGTCTGACTTCAGCTCAGGTGATGATCTCAAAGTTTGTGAGTTTGAGCCCCACATCAGGCTCTGTGCTAACAGCTCAGAGCCTGGAGCCTGCTTTGGATTCTGTGTCTCCCTCTCTCTCTGCACCCCCGCCGCCCCACTCATGCTCTGTCTCTGTCTCTCAAAAAAATAAACATTAACAATAATTAATTTATTACTCTATAAAATGTATTATAGAAGTCACAACCATGAAGATCAGCCAACTAGGAAGAGACAGATCTTACAGATGCTAGAAGCAGTAGTCAACTATACTTTCTGCAATATGGTTAGAATTAATGCCTTTATTATTGCATGTTAACATACATTTAAAGTAAAACGACCTTCCTTTATGGATGCATGGCAAAGCTATTACGGAGTGATATATTTTCTGCCAAGACTGACAAGACTGTTTTACAGAGTAAACTCTGGTGAGTTCTATATTCCAAACAAGGGGTAGTATCAAATAATTAGAATTTCTATGATTAGAAGTTATCTAGGATCTCCAGGTTCAAGCAGCTTTCAAGTAACTCACGTGATGTTATAGAGGGAAGGAAATACAAAGACAAGAGGAAGTAAAAATATGTTTCATTGAAAGAAAATAGAGGCAAGTGGAGAGGGATAAAGGAGAAACTGCAAGAGAATGTGATGTCTTCAGGAAAAGTAGAAAGGAGAGGAGAGAAATGCTACGTGTACTTATCTATTAATCCTACTATACCTATCTTATCACGTTTCCCAAAGTGCCAAAGTACTAAAATGAAAAGAGAAGAGCTTATGAATGTTGTCATAACTCTAAGAGAGAAAATTATTCATGCAACCATGAAGTTGAAAATTTAAAAATTGAATGTCAAGGTGATCTGTGTAATAGTGCACACAGAGTTTTGAAGTTACAACTGCTCAAATTATTAGCAAGTTATTATTCAAATACTGTTCAGAACAATAAGAGAATGTGCCCCAAACAGAGTGGAAAAGCCACATTTCATGTCAGTGCTTTTTCATGAAACAGCTGAAAGGCATTCGAACTCTGTTTCAGCATTCATCAAGAGGGCAAAAACATACACAAGTGCAATTTATTCAGTTGTAGGCATCGTCCACAGGTAGGAAAGATGGGACAAGTTTAAATTTCTGCTCTCCCACTTACTAGCTGGCCTTGGTAAAGTTTCTTAACCTTTCTGCAACTCAGTTTTCTTAACTAAAAAGAGAGAACATTCATAATGCATAGGGTTCCTCTGATAATTTAAAGAGTTAATGTACATAAAGTGCTTAGTACAGTACTGCAGCCAGTGAGGATCATATAAATAATAATAATTATTATTATTACTATTATGACTTTTACATGCAAACCTCAACTACCTTTGAGATTTGGGAAGATACATATATTTAGTAAAAAAAGACCATTTGGTCAAGGAATTGCAGAAATATTCTACAACATTTAAAACATTAATCCCTGGAAATTATATAGCTCCTACAAAATTTTAAAAATTTGGTCCTTTTTTTTGTTGTTGTTGTTGATATATGCTCACTTCTACCTTGTAAAGTATAAGAATTTGGTGCCATTTATTCAATCCAAAATAAAGGCATCTTATATTCGTAAATCCTCATTGTAACTGTCTTTATGAAACTAAAGGATATTCAGGGCTTTTTCCCCAAAGAGTCACTTTAAATATCTCCTCTGTGCTCTGTTAGAGGGAAATACAGAAACAGTGAAGATCATTGCCTTGTTTCTACCAGATTCTTGAGTTTAAGGTTTCTGTCAGAGAAGAGGGTGGCTTTCACTTTGCAACCTCTAGGAGTAGGGGTATAGACATATTTTAGGGGCATTAGCATGAACTGCAAGCTAAGGAAGAGTTGATTAACCACGTTTTGGGGCATATAAAAAGGGAATTTAAGAAGAATATGGGATGTGACCTTTTTGGTAAGCACGGTGTTATTTTTCTCAGAAACTCTAGAGCACTCCGAGAAAGGCTTCTATGGTTGTTCTGCATTGTTAGGGGTGGGGAGGGAGAATGGAACAGGAGAGGGAGGAGAGGAAGAGGTGAGGTGTTCAGCTACCCAACCAAAGGCATCAAAACTCAAAGTAATCCTCAAAAGATAGCAAATAAGAATGTAGGGAGTCAGAGAAGGACATTTTTTTTTATTTGTCAATTCATGACCAAAAGGAAGGATCAGAACCTGACACTAGAACCATCATCTAAGGTGGGACAGGTACTGGGGACCGGGCTCATGGCCCACAGTGATCAGCCAAATACACTGTTACGTTGAAGGCTTTGTCTCAGAGAGTCCCTGATACAGTCCTAAATAGTCAAAACATTATTCTGGGAATCTAGACAGAGAGGCAAGCTGAACCAGTCAGCCAGCTTGTATCTAGGAATTCTTCTGTCTAGTGGGCAAGCTCTGGGTACTTGAGAGGCCAGCAAAGTGGTGGCAGGCAACACAAGACCTTCTGTATGGTAGCCGAGTCAAAGTAACAGGAGGGAATGCTAGAACAGAGGTGTGGAATGTGGAGCTAGGGCTGAGGAGGAGACTTAGGAGAGAGGTTGGAAATGTTTTAATTGAGAGTATAAATACACATGCCATCCTTATAGAGACCAAAGTAAATGTGTGACTAACCCAACCGGTTTGGGTAGAATGTGATTAGGGAAGCAAGGCAGTGCTGAGCTGATTCATTATTTCTTACCTAATTCAAGATTAATTTGGGAATTGGGACAGGCTGGGTGGGAATTTAATCTACCTATACAGATCCTGAGTTACA